AGATCTCAGCCTCCTGAGTAACTAGGATTACAGGCATGAGCCACCAGCACCCGGCTTCAGTTTGAAACTCTTATCTCTAATTAACCGCCAAAATCCAGAAGTAGAGCTGTGTAGAGTGTAGAGCTGTGTAGAGTGTAGAGTGCTAGCCTTGAGCAAAAATTTTGCTCAGGGACAGTGCTCAGGCCCCAAGTTCAAGCCCTAGGATTGGCACAAAAAAAATTATCATCAGAGTTTACCTTGATTGCTTTTATTCAGAAGTGAGAGGCACCAGCACCCCAGCCTTTGTGCCTCATGACCTCAGGTTGTTGACACATTTCCCTCTATGGGTCCTGCTTTCTCCCCATGAGGGCTGGATGAAGAAGGTATCAGACTGCTCTGTGGCATCAATGGAACTCTGAGGCGGCCCTTTGTGATGCTTCTCAGTGACAGCCATAACATCTCCTATTATGTCTGCTTTGTATGTTGGTGCTTCCGTGAATATTTCATTCCAACTGAAGGGTTGTTGAGTCTGTGAGACTCTTACCTACAATTAACCAGCAAAAATCCAAAACAGGAGACACAAACTTTGTTGCTCTCAAGGGCCCTATGCATGGTACCTGATAGCTGTATTGTCATTACTGGGGGATCAGGAGGTTACCTACAAATGTCCCCCACAGGCTTTGCAAGGAACATGCATGACCTATGGGGCAGCATTTGGCAAATAGCCTAAGCTGTTGCCTCTCTGTTCTATCTTTAGGTATAAGTGACTAGTGAGTTGAGGCATGGGGAGGGGGACCTACAGACTTCCCCCATAAGCAGTCTAAACCCATATTTCAGGCATCAGCCAAAATGAGACCCCAAAAGTATTTGTTTTGCAGGAATATCAAAAGTTTCATTATGGTTAAGCAGTCTTATGTTTCTTTCCACTGGTCATGCTTTTCATTGTAAATTAGATTTACGTGTGGCAGGTAGGAGCCAATCTTTTCAGTGCTCAGGGTTGCTAAAGCCCCTTGAAGAGTATAGTTCACAGGTATATACTTAAAGGATACTTCCCCCTTCCCCCACACCCCCAACTTTAACATAAGCTACATGAAGTTTGGCCTGCCCAATGCAGATTCTTAAAATACTTAATTATCAGCAGCTCTCAAAGAGGAATGTTGTAAAAGTCCCACCCCTCCCCCCCAAGGGCAGAACTCAGCCTGTCACTCCTGGCCTGTGGTTGAGTAGGAGATAGGCAAGCAGAGGCACCAAGAGGACCTGGCTGTCTGGGATCCCAAACAGCCTGGGCAGACTGGATGGGTTGGTGCTGTGGGCAAGGTGGGTAGCTATCAAGGACAATGAACTTCCACACACACCCATCTAAGTGAAACAGCGAGGTCTCATCTTTGCCAAGCCTGAACTGAGATGTCAGGAGCCTCTAAGGAAGATTTGGGACCTCAGCGTCTGCCAGTGTTGGGCAAGGCCTGCTTAACCACAATGGACAAAAAGCTTAATATGTTGAATGAAAAGGTGGACAGACTCTTGAATTTCCAAGAAGATGTCACAGAGAAACTGCAGTATGTGTGCCAAGGGATGGGCCACCTAGAACAAGGTCTGCACCGGCTGGAGTCCTCCCAAGGGGTCAACAGTGCTCCTCCAGCTGATGGCCAGACTGACTGGCCTGAGGTCCTGGAGCTGGTGAGGGGTATACAGCAAGATAGTGCCCAGCATGGCACTAGACTTGAAGCCTTCTTCAGGATGGTGGTGGCTGTAGAGAGGGCCATGGCATTCGTGCAGGCCACATTCCAGAACTTGAAGGTGGTGGATTTCGTTATGCAAGGCAATGTCCCCTGGAGAAAAGGCAGCCTGAGTGACGGTCCCGAGGAGGTTGGTGCTTACTTCCCTGCCCTGGTTGGTAAAGAGGCCCTGAGCCCTGGTGGGGACACTGCAGGATTGTTCTCCCTTGTACCTCCTGTGTGTCCCATTAATGGGGAAAAGGAGGGTCTCAACTCTTGTTGGTGTCCTGTGTAGCCCAGTGGATTTCCAGAGAGCACACTGTCTGCTGTTCCCCAAGGAAAGGAAAGGTGTCCTGGCTGAGATTATGGGCCTTGGGCAGCTTCTAGATGTGGAGGATAATACCTGGAGGTTAGGGAGAGAATGTCTTCATTGTCTCCAGAACTTCTTTTCTCTTCTTCTTTTCTGCTTCTCCCTACTTAAGGTGGGAGACAGGTGTCAGTGCTAGTTTCCTTTGATAGCTCCTGTCCAGAAACTCAACCCCCCTCCCCTTCCTGTCCTTAATCTTGTCCCAGAGTGGGTGGAATGGGAGACAGGCAAGCTGCAGCTGCCTATGGGGAGAGGAGTGTTGACAGCGACCCATAGAGGACAACCAGCTGGGACCGGAGCCTGGAGGTGGAGGTGGCATTTCTGAGAGAGACTTTCCAAAGGTTGCATAATCCAGCCTGATGGGTAATGGAAGCTTAGACACTGGTGGGAGTGGGGGAGGTGTATAGAGGGGACACTATGTTTGGGAACAACTGAGACGACACTCAGACAGCCTGGAGCCACCATTCCCTGTTATTGCCGCCAGCCTGTGGCAAGGATGAGCTGGGGTCTAAAGAGATTTGTGCTTGGCCCAGTGCAGCCAGGCTGAATCTAGCCTAGCTACCCATTCCCCAACCTCACAAGGCAGACCTCTCCCCATGCAACTCCTTGCTGTCTGACCTGCAGCTCCAAGTCTAGCCCGCAGGATAAAAGGGACCCCTCCCCTTGCAGTGGCTCTTGCCCCTTGATACCAACACAGTCCTTATAAAAAGAAAATTAACTGTGTTAATGTAAAAAAAAAAAAACAACCAATAACTTTAGAAGGAAAATTAAATTAAGTTTATGTGTACATAAACTTGTGATACAGGAGGGCAGCACCAAAAAGGAAAGAAACCCAAAGTGGGAGCCACATCTCCTGTCTGTTTTATCTGAGGTCCCCAGCAGCACCAGTACCAGTTTCTCTGCACCCTTTCAGACCTAGGATCTGTGTCTATGAGCCAATTACTATAATGTCACCCTGTTTTCTGTTTTGTTTTCATGCAAACATTGTGCCATTATTCTGGTCTGGGTGGTAAGGAACTATTGCTTTGTATTTATATTCAAAAAGCTTCCTCTTCAAGTTTCTTAAAGTTGCAAAGTACTGTATTTGGACGATGTCTTAATTTGTTAGCTAGTCTTCTTCTTATTTTTTCTCACTTTTAGCTCTGATAAATAACAAATCAGTGGATATCCACAGAAGTATGTCTTTGAACACTAATGTGAGTTTATCTGTATGATATACTCTAAATAGTAAGTGCCAGGCCAAAGGGTAAATTTATATCAATAATGCCTAACTAGCCTTCAAAAAAATAATTCCAGAGGCTAGGAGTTCTTCATAAGCTAAGCCATGGGGTCTGCATGTGAGAACTGAACTAACCCCAGATAGAAAATATTCAAGGGTGGCTGGGTAACAGTGGCACAAGCCTGCTATCCTAGCTACTCAAGAGACTGAGATTCGAGGCTGAGATTTTCCCAAGCAGGAAAGTCTGTGAGAATCTTATCTCCAATTAACCACAAATCTAGAAGTGGAAGTGTGGCTCAAGTGGTAGAATACCACCTTCAGGTGAAAAAAAAAAACGTTGAAAGGACAAGCCCTGAGTTCAAGCCCCAGTAATGGCACAAGAAAAAGGGAAGAAGAAATAAATATTCAGGAGAAAACAATTGCATCTGTGCTTAACATGTGCCCATTTTTTCCTTATGATTCATTCCTAAATAATACAGTATAACACAGCACTTGCATTGTAGAATGGAAAAATAATAGATAAAAGAGATGATTTAGAATACACAGGGGTTACACATTGTTATCCAGTAAGAAAACAGAGAAGCCACATTTTGAGAGGTCAAATTGAGTGTTTATTGGAAAGCTAGCGAATGCAGGCAGACTCCTATCATAAAGTCCTGTAGCCCCTTGATTACACTCAACACTGTCAGAAAACTGAGCCATGAGAGCAAGAGAAGAAAGATAGAGCATAAAAATACCGACAAACCAGATTGGCAACTATGAGGAGCTGAAGTGGGATACCATGTTGACCAGGAGAAGCACCAAGAGACAGGACAGAGAGATAACAGACAGGAGACACATGGCATGGTGTATCCATGCTTGAGCTTGTCCAGGCCTAATGAGGGTCAGGTTAGGGGGCAGGGTCAGCTTGAAAGTTCATGACCCAAGACTGGCAGGTCCAGTAACCTATTGTCCAAGTCCCAGCCCTTACCTCTAGGAATTCAGGCATGCCCATCACCTGGGAGGTAGGGCTTCTCTGCCTCCACCAAGGCAGAGGTGACAAGATAGTGCCAGTTACACTCAATACCTTATCATCCACCACTTGGCCAAGGTGGCGCTGGTTAGATTCAACATCTCTTCTTCAACATAAGCTATAAATCAAGACTGCATTGTTTCTCATCTGAGACTGGAGCATTTGTAGATTTTGGTAACTGAAGGGCTCCTAGAACTAATCTCAAGTTTTCCATGTTTTTAAGTTTTTTGTGTTGAAATAGTTAAAAACACAAATGTAAGCTCTCATTTCTTTTTTATTTATCAGACAGGAAAAGAATGAAAATGTTGAATAATATTCTTTCCTTTGTGCCAGTAATGGGGCTTGAACTCAGGACCTTAGACACTTGTCTAGCTTTTTCCACTTAAAGCTGGTACTCTACCGTTAGAACTACATCTCCACTTTTGGCTTTTTGATAGTTAGTTTGAGAGACAAGAATCTCTCAAATTTGTCTTCCCAGGCTGGATTTGAAACAGGATCCTTAGATCTCAGCCTCATATATAGGGTTAGAGGCTTTATACAGACACTGAACAGGAAAATATGCTTTTTAGTCAATGTAAAGGCAGCAAACATTCACAGATACATTGGAATGACTGCTATGCCCAGGGGTAGAATAGTTGTTTAGCACATATAATGCCCTGGGTTTAATCTCTAGCACCAATAAACAAAAACAAAAAAGGCCACACCCACCCAACACAACAGCATCAACAACACCAACAAATAAAAGTATTTTAGCATTAATATCTGCAAAATAAACATGTGGGTTTTTTCCCTCAGTACTGGGGTTTGAACTCAGGGCTAGACAAGTGCTCTGACTACTGAAGCTATACCTACTCTTTTTGTGTGTGTGTGCCAGTACTGGGGCCTGATATCAGGGCCTCAAGCTCTTATTTGGATTGCTTGCTCATGGATGGCATGCTATCACATGGCTCATGCTTCCTGGCATTGTGCTGGTTAGTTGGAGATGATGTCTCACAGACTTTTCTACTTAGGCTGGCTTCAAATCTTGACCATCTAGGTCTCAGCCTTTTGAGTAGCTATGATACAGATATGAATCATTAGCACCTGGCATATACCTAACCCTTTATTATGTGCTTATTTTTCAGATAGGGGCCATTCTCAGACTTTGATTCTTCTACTTATACCTCTTACTTAGATGAGATAATATCCAGGAGCCATGTACTTCAGTAAGAAAGACTATTTAAAATATATAATCAAGGTCTAATTCCAACTACTCAGGAGGCAGAGATCAGGAAAATTGCTATTTAGGTTCCCTGTGACAAAAAAAATCCAATCTCAACAAATAAGCCCAGCATGATGGTCCATCTCTGTAATCCAGATTGTGAAAGAGTCTATACATAGGCATACAGATCCAAGGTTGGCCCTGGGAAAAAGTGGGAGATTAGATCTTAAAAAATATTAAAGCCGAGAGGTCTAGGACATGGCTTGAATGCTAGAGCTCTCATACTGGCCCTGAGTTCAAATCACAGTACCCCCACAAAACCCCCATTAACCATAACTAGATCTAGAAATAATGGTAACTTCTAATATTACTTGAAGTTAGTATTCAAATGTCTGTGATCAGCTTATACTTTAAAAAAATGGGGAGGAGAGATGGTGGTACTCAGGGCCTTCCACTTGGTAGGCAAACAATTACTTAAGCTACACTTCCAGCCCTTTTATCCTTTATTTTTTGCTGGTAGCTGGCCTTGGATGCAATCCTACCCCTGAATCCTTCCTAACTGTGCCACCATACCTGGCTTGTTGTTTGAAATAGTCTTATCAGATTTTGTTCTGACTGGCCTCAAATTGTGATCTTCCCATCTCTCTATCTCTGTCTCCTCCATGACTAGCATTGCATTTTTGTGCTACTACAATTTGAATTCAGCCTTCCACTTAGTAGGAAGTACTTTAAAGTGAGACTTTAAAGTCTACTTTAATTTTTTAAAGTTTATTTATTTAAATATGATCCAAATAAAGCACTTGGTTATATGTCTATTAAAGCTTACTCTGCTATTGAACTAAGTCCTCTATTGATAAAGTATTTAAGCTAGCTTGGAACTGGTGGCTCATACCTGTAATCCTAGCTACTCAGGAGGCTGAGATATGAGAGTCACATTTTTAAGCCAGCCCAGTCAGGAAAGTCTGAATTTTTTTTTTTTGTCGGTGGTAGAGCATGAACTCTGGGCTTGGGCGCTGTCCCTCAGCTCTTCAGCTCAAGGCAAGCACTCTATACTTGAGTCACAGTGCCACTTCAAGTTTTCTGGTGGTTAATTGGAGATAAGAGACTCATGGACTTTCCTGCCTGGGCTGGCTTTGAACCGAGATCCTCAGATCTCAGCCTCCGGAGTAGCTAGAAGTATAGGCATGAGCCACCAGTGCTGGTTTCTGTGAGATTCTTATCTTCAATAAATTGCTCAGAAAAAGCCAGAAGTGGCACTGTGGCTCAAGTAATAGAGTGCTAGCCTTGAACAAAAAGAATCTCAGCCTCGGGGAAGGGAGGGAGGGAGGGGATGGTAGGGGGAAAACAATGGAGGGGGTAACAATGTTCAAGAGGAAGTGTACTCATTACCTCACTCATGTAACTGTAACCCTCTGTATAGTATCTTTACAATAAAAAAAAATTAAAAAAAGAATCTCAGGGACAGTGCCCAGGCCCAGAATTCAAGCACCAGGACAAGCAAAAAAAGAAAAGAAAAGAAATTAATACATATATGCTTTTTTGACCTTTAGTTTTAAGACTTCCATGTTGCCCAGGATAGCTTTGAACTAACCATCCTCTTGCTTCAGACTACTGAGGCACCACCATATTCAGCTAAAATTTTTAAAATCTTTTTATTAAGGAAAATTATAAGCAATAAGAGGTAGACAGATATATATTATAGGCTTTGCTTACATTTTATCTAAAGTTTATACATCATTTATAGGTTTAAAAACTTTTGTTGTTTTTTTGGGGGGTCTGGTCGTGGGGCCTGAACTCTGGGCCTGGGCGCTGTCCCTCAGCTCTTCAGCTCAAGGCTAGCACTCTACCACTTGATCCACGGTGCCACTTCCGGCTTTTTTCTTTTTGCTTATGTGGTGCTGAGGAATGGAACCCAGGGCCTCAGGCATGCAAGGCAAGCGCTCTACCACTGAGCCATCTTCCCCGCCCCTATACAGAACTCTTATAAGTCAATAAAGACAGAAAACAAGGACAAGAGCATAAATAAATAGTTCATAAAAATGCAAAAGTTTTCTTATCTGCATTACTCCAATGCACTGGTACTTGATTGACATCTCTGGTCCTACCTGCTGTACCTACATGCTGGTTTGGGTCTAGATTCCCAGTGCTATTGTTAAACTGCAGCCTTTACTTCCCATGGCTAGTCTTAGAGAAGAGATTTAGTAAGTGCCCAGTGAATTAAGATACAACTGCAGCTGTTGAACAATTTTTCAGTTGTGAAAACTGCATTACAGACTTTCTGGAGATACTCTTTCTGTAGTACACTTTCTGGAGATACTCTATGTTCACTGAAGAGAGTAGGGGTCTAGCTAGGTGTTAGTGGCTATGCCTGTAATCCTAGATATTTAGGAGAGTGAGATATAAGGATGGATAGAGGTTTGAAACCAGCCTAAGAAGAAAAGTCCAAGAGTCTTTTATTTCCAATTAACTAGCAAAAGGCCAGAAGTAGAGGTTGCCTTAAGGCATTCTGCTTTGAAAAAACCAAGTGAGAGAACAAGGCTCTGAGTTTAAGCCTCAGTTATGAGAGAGAGGGTTAGAGACAGAGAGAGAGAGAGAGAGAATGAGATTTGAAATGTGTGCGCTGACCTTGTGAAGGTTCTGCTTGGACTGGCTCAGTGAACTTGGTTTGGTTGTAACAGTGAATTTGATTATTACTAGAAACCAGGTGCTGTCTTAGAAAAAACAGCTTCAGGCTCAGCCAGGGCTGTGTCTGAGTCACAGTCAAGCTGTTCAGTGTCCCAACCCTTTAGAATGGGATTTGAGGTCTCTTCAGCTTCTACAAGGAAGAGAACAGAAGGTTGCTGAAGACAGACCCTGGCTGTGGGGCAGTGGAGGCCCATGTGAATGGGAGGCGTGTGATTTCCTACACTAAAATCAGAAAGGGAGAGAACACTCTGAGCCCAATAAGGTCTGCCAAAGGACAGTGTGTACGAATCCCTTCCTACCAGTGGGGGGGTTGGTGATAATGCCTCCAGTTCACCAACTATGCGGTTGGCAAGACAGGGGTGGCAGGACAGGCAGAAAAGGGAGCTATCTGCTAAGCAGAGGGACTAGGCCACACTGATGACATTGATGATATAATAACAGCTGCTAGTATTTTTTAAATGTTTGCATATACCAGGCACTGGGCTGTGCTCTCCATGTATTATCTCCTTACCAAAAAAAGGGCAAAATTTGGTGTCCTGGAATGCCAAGGGGTGAGTAGAACTGAGAGACATGGGCACAGTGAAGGGAACCCCCAGCCTTGGGGCAGGGAAACTGAGGAGGGATATATGGGATGCAGTTAGGGGAAGCTGTTCTAACACTTTACTACTTGGGCATAGATTTGCCAGCTGTCCCCAATATTGTTTCAAGACAAGCTGGAACTTCAAAGTCCTTTTAGTCAAATGTATTAAGGCATAATAATAAAATAATTATTTTGTTAAAGCATAATTTTTTTATTTTTTTGGGGGGTCTCCAGTCATGGGGCCTGAACTCTGAGCCTGGGCACTGTCCCTCAGCTCTTCAGTTCAAGGCTAGCGCTCTACCACTTGAGCCACAGCACCACTTCCGGCTTTTTTCTTTTTGCTTATGTGGTGCTGAGGAATGGAACCCAGGGCCTCATGCATGCAAGCCAAGTGCTCTACCACTGAGCTACCTTCCCAGCCCCAAGCATTTTTTTTTTTTTGGTTGGTTGTGGGACTTGAACTCTGGGCCTGGGCACTGTCCCAGAGCAATTCAGCTCGAGGTGAGCACTCTACCACTTGAGCCACCACTTCTGGTTTTCTGGTGGTTAATTGGAGATAAGAGTCTCAATGGTGCTTCTGCCTGGGCTGGCTTTGAACCTTGATCCTCACATCTCAGCCTCCTGAGTACCTAGAATTACAGGCCTGAGCCACCAGTGCCCAGCTCTAAAGCATAATTTATACACACAAACTATAAACAATTTTAAGTATATAGTTCAACAAACATATATACCCCAGTAACAACCACCACAATCAAAATACAAAACAATTCTATCTCCCCTGCCCACCAAAAGTATCATATAATTTTTTTTTAAAAATCTGGATTTTTAAATGTTGTAAACTAAAAATTTTAAGTGCTATATGAACCAAAGAGATTGTGTCCTGATCTGTTTTTGGCCTCTGGATTCCCAGTTAAGAACATATGTGGCCAAGAGAAGAGAAAGTCCCTTTACTGATAAGTGTCTTGTGTGTGGGTGCTTGGACCAGAGTGGCTGCTGTTAGTCATACCAGGAGCCATATTAGGGACTTCACCAGTGAAAGACTCAGAATCCCTGGAAGCAGCCAGGGGGAGCAGAAGGAGGTTGAGACAGATAGTTAGATTTGCTTGTGAATTCACTGCTGGATGTGACCAGCATGCTGAGTGCTTGGAATGATGCCAGGCAGAAAGCATGCCACATTAGTGCTGGTCTTGGGCACAGTATTTGAATTTAAGGGATAGATGCTGAGTGCCCCTGTGGGCTGGCACTTACTGAGTACCTACTATGTGCTGCTCATATCTCCACCCTTTGAAGCAGATATTACCATTCCAATTTTATAGAAGATGGTGTGAGATGCAGAGAAGTAAGAAGATTGGCCAAGTGGTGAAGATGGGATCCAAACTTAGCAAGGCAGCTGGGTGCTAGTGGCTCAAGCCTGTAATCCTAGCTACTTAGGAAGTTGAGATCTGAGGATCTCATTTCAAAGCCAGCCCAGGCAGGAAAGTCCATGAGTCTCTTATCTCCAATTAACCACCAGAAAACCAGAAATGGCGCTGTGGCTCAAGTGGTAGAGTGCTTGCCTTGAGCTGAAGAGCTGACGGACAGTGCCCAAGTCCAGAGTTCAAGCCCTATGACTGACAAAAAGCCACCACCAACAAAAAAAACAACTAGCAAGACTTTTTGGAATCTATGCTCCTAGCTCCATGCTTCACTGGAAGTGTTAGTGGGGGATCCTCCCACTCAGCCTCCAGGCAGACATTACCCATTGATGTGGTACACCGTTCCTGAAAAGCACAGACATTTTGATTAAAGAATCCTGCATAAACCAACATTGTAGTAACTGTGAATATACACACCTGTAAACTGCTATACTGTTAGCTGCATCCTCTACTTTCCAGAGCTGTTACTGTAGGAGATGAGCTGATTTTTTTTTTTTGTTTGCCAATCCTGGGGCTTTAATTCAGGGCCTGGGCACTGTCCCTGAGCTTCTTTTGCTCAAGACTAGCACTCTACCACTTGAACCACTATATGTGGAACTGAGGAATCAAACCCAGGGCTTCATGCATGCTAGACAAGCACTCTACTACTAAGCCACATTCCCAGCACTGAGCTGATATTTTAAGATGATTTTCCACCACTGGTCTTTAGTCTTTGAGGTTTAGTCTATTTAGAAGCTTTGCCAGGGGCTGAGTCTGCCCCTCAACAGCAATATAGCAAAACATTGGAAAGGACCTTGGTTCTGAGTTTGAAGCAGAACTCCTCTTCTTGTGAGTTTTATTTATGGCCTCAAGAAAGCCTCACTATGCCGGGTGCTGATGGCTCACGCCTGTAATCCTAGCTACTCAGGAGGCTGAGATCTGAGGATCGAGGTTCAAAGCCAGCCCGGGCAGGAGAGACCATGAGATTCCTATCTCCAATAAACCACTAGAAAACCAGAAGTGGCGCTGTAGCTCAAGTGGTAGAGCACTCCCCTTGAGCTGAAGAGCTCAGGGACAGTGTACAGGCCCAGAGTTCAAGCCCCACGACTGACCCAAAAAAAAAAAGCCTCACTATACATATTCCCCAATATAATAACAAATAATATTTATCCGCTACTCTTACTGTGAACGAATTATGTGAAATAACCTATCTTTATGCTAAGTACCTGGTAGTAGGCAACAAATGTTTGTGGCTGGAATGATGGAATTAACAATAATGATCATTGCTTTTATGGTTATTTTAGAACAAAGAACAAGTGGAAGAAAAGGGAGCAAAGCCAAAACACATACTGAACACCAGAGGTGTGCAAGCAGACCTCAAGGGGCCTTGGGAAGGTGAGCAGACCATTTGCTCCTCTATATCATTTTAACAATGGTTTCACACTAAAACCCTAGCAATGTGATTTCTGGAAAACAATTGAAACTGCCTTTTTCTTTTCTCTTTCCTTTCCTTTCCTTTTCCTTCCTTCCTTCCTTCTTTCCATCTTTCCTTCCTTCCATCCTTTGCTCTTTCTTCTCCTTCTGCTTTTGGTGCTGAAACTGGGGCTTAAACTCAAAGCCTGAGTTTCTTTGCTCAAAGCTGATGCAGTACCCCTGAGCATGTCTCCACTTTTGGCTTTTAACTGATTAATTGGAGATAAGCATCTCACAGACTTTTCTACCCAGACTGGCTTTGGACTGCCATCTTCAGATCTCAGTCTCCTGAGTGGCTATGATTACAGGTGTGAGTCACCAGTACCCAGCTTAATATATATATATATATACATTTTTTTTTTTGGGTCCAGTCATGGGGCCTGAACTCTGGGCCTGGGCGCTGTCCCTCAGCTCTTCAGCTCAAGGCTAGCACTCTACCACTTGAGCCACAGCTCCTACTTCCAGATTTTTCTGCTTAGTGGTGCTGAGGAATTGAACCCAGGGCCTCATGCATGTGAGGCAAGCACTCTACCACTGAGCCACCTTCCCAGCCCCCCAGCTTAATATTATTAAAATGGCTTGGCAATTGCTTTTTTCTTTATTTTAGTTCTCATATATTGCTAATTGTCTGTCTGTTTGTGTGCATGCACACGCGTTCATGCACGCATGTGCTTTGAACTCACTTAGCTTTCTTGCTTATGACTGGCACTCTACTATCTGAACCGTGCCTCCAGTCCAGCATTTTCCTGATTAATTGTAGATGAAGGATCACAGACTTTTCTTTCCAGGCTTGCTTCAAACTGTGATCCTCTGATATCAGCCTCCTGAGAGACTTAGGATTAGAGGCCAGTGCCCAGCTTTCAATTGCTATTTTGTTTTTTTTTTTGGGGGGGGGTCCGGTCGTGGGGCCTGAACTCTGGGCCTGGGCGCTGTCCCTCAGCTCTTCAGCTCAAGGCTAGC